TCAAATAATCATAGAAACGCAAATATTAAGAGGTGAAAAACGTAACAAATGTGCTATTATCAGTAGCAATTCAATATTTTTTCAAATATTTATTCATACTTTTATTTAGTAAGCATTAAAAAACATTCTTTAAAAGTTACGTATACGGTTTATACTTATTCAGCAGTATTAACACAATATTTGAATAGAGTAATATTTCACCAAGAACATTAACATAAAATTCGTCTAGAGTATATGACCAAATTGAATAATTATGTCACTTTGTTATGCAATTCAAAGTTAAGAGAATACTAACATTTTTTTAAGCTAAAAAATGAAGAATTTCTTTGTAAACTCAATTGACTAGAATTTCTTGAATTTCTTTGATTGAAGGAAAAATTATTTTTTTCCTATTTTAACTAACTAGAGATTTGTGAGAAGAAAAAAGAAATAAGTTTTGCTAACTCAATTGGCTAACACTTCATGCTGATAATGTGCTATAAAACAGAGAGAAAAGAAAAGAAAAAATAGAGAATTTAATAAATTTGTATATAATTCATTGAGAACTAAAATTCTATATTTATAAAGAACAATCAAGACTCCAAAACATACAACAATCATAATAATTAGGACTACAAAAATATGATCATCATTTACTAATGAAGATAGAAACACAATCAAATTATTATAATAATAGATTAATATATGTTGTTCAATCATGTTTCGTGTACACCCCACCGATAACACATATAGGTGGATAAATTTTTGGAATTATCCACTTGTACAGAACTGTTTCTTCCGTAAAAATGACAAAATAAATATTATTATAAAAAAATGAGGCCCGTCCCATGTGTGTATTTTGTCATTTTTACATAATTTTCTTAACTGCAGCATCACTAATTTTTTTTACTTCTTTATTGAGGTGTGGGTCCCATTGAGAGGCACCCTGTGCATCTGGCTTAATTCATGTTGTATTCTATTCTGACTAGAAAATTATATTTCTTATACTTTAACTCGATAATTTCACGAGTTAACCTAGATAGATTTTGGAAACCTTTTTACCAAATTCAGTCGAAACAATTTCGTTATCAAAATTTGTCCAAACCCGAATATCTTTTCAATAGTAAAGATTCTCGTCAAGAAATATCCACCGATTTTATCTGTGCATATATAGACGAAATCTATCTATTTGGAGTGTAGAATTGGGATAGATATGAGCTGGAAAAGAGTGGGAAAGGCAGCACAGGCGGTGGCAGCGCACGCTTTTCTTTTTAGTTTCACGGTTTCGCTTGTTCTAAAGCTCGATCATACCGTCTCCTATTCTTGGTGGTCAGTTTTTCTTTACCCAATTCCTGTTTTGTCTTTTTTGTTTATTCATGTGTTTTTTATTTAATATTTGAGCAAAGACTTTGTTGTTTTGCTTTTAAATTTAGTTAATTGGGTTTTCGTTTTAGGAAATCTGGCGCCGAAAAGATTTTCCCTTTATTTATAATTTGCCTCTCTGCGAAATTGGTATGGGGAAATGTGGAGGCTTTTTAGGTTATTGTTGTTGGTTATCATTATTTTGCGGGATTTGTGAGAGATTGTGGAAGTAATCAACTGGTGGACTATTGAGGTTTCTAAGGAATAATCTGTGGAGACCACCAGCATATCTAGAATAAAATCTGCAGGAAATCCGAAGGGAATAAGTGAGAGATTTCGTATATAGTTTGTGTATGCTGTAGAGGCTATGCTTCTGAAACATGAGAACCATGGCAAGTAATTCTGCATTATTCTACTTGATGAATTGCCACATTCCTTTTGAGTTTAGGGTTTGTTCAAGTCTGCCACTCTTTGTTATTATTATGGGAAAATTACGTGCAAAACAAATATCACTTTCTCTATGAGTGAGTAGAGACGAATTCAGGTTATTAATTTTTTGAGTTGTGGAAGATGCAATATTCACTCATTCAGAATGCACAACTATAGAATCTTATGATTTATTCATACGAAATGTACGTGTCCTGGTCGGGGCTCTCCCTTCACCACCTCCATGGGGATGGTCTGTTCATTAGCAATCTGCTCCTACATATGCTAACAAGTTGGAGTACATGGTTCTGAAAGAGGAATATTTGTTTATCTAGTTAAAGTATGAAGTGGAAAATGATGAAGTTAGTCAACGGGGAAGCCAAAAAATGGAGAAACATTGCCAGCTTCACGAAGAGACTTTCTGGTTAAGTTAATATAAAGGAAGGAACAAAAAGAGTAACTTTTTGGACATTTGGTGAACTGTATTCAATATTTTGGAGTAATACTATATATCACCACTGGTAATCACCCGCAATGTGGCCGTGGCGCCACTACCACATTGTTCAATGAATACCTTATTCAATATTTTTGTGTGTGCCTAGATGCACGTGGCATTTCTTTATGACATTTTAAGCTAATACTTGTCAACAAAGATATTTTTTTTTATTTTTTTCCTTTAAAGAAAATAAGGGTTCGTTTGATAGGCAAATGTGGAAAAGAATTTCAATGCCATGTTAATTGGAAAATAAAAACACAACAAACTCATAGAAATTCATTTTCAATGAAAACAAAGAAAATGCGGCTTAAAGTAGTTGTATTTTGGAATTCGATTTTCATTTCCACGTTGCAATCAAACGGAAAAAGTGGAGTTCGTTTTCCTCGGATGTGACATTTTTCATGGAATTCGTTGCAATCAAACATGGCCTAAAAGTCTATTGAATAGTAAAAATTGAACATTGTTTTGCAATTCCACGGTGTTCTTCAATTTCTGAAGTTATGCACTTTAGGAGCTATAGATTGGATGTAAAAGATGAATGTTTTATGGATGAAGTTATTGTATTGGAAAGAAGTATGCAGATAGCATTTGCTTTAAATTGTAGAGACGGAAAAGAAGAATAATAAGTAGGTTGAGGATAGGAGTTCCTTAACCCAAGGTTTGTGACAAATCATAAATATATATGAGTTTCCTTTTTTGATTGGTTAACTTCACTAGAATGAAGGGAACTTTGAGGGGTTGCTCAATTGATCAGGTCTTGAGTTTGTTCCCCAATGGTCATTAGTTCGAATCCCTCAGGGCCACTGAGGTGAGTACCCGACCGTAAACTTTAGGGTCCCGTGGATTAGTTGAGGTGCGCGCAAGCTAACCTCGACATCCATAGTTATAAATAAAATAAAAAACTTCACTCGAATGAAGAGATTAAAAAATTGATAAACCTATTGACTTCTCCAACTATAATAATCACTGGTGAATGTTGAGACTAGTACTAGGGGCTAGGGGCTCAATTCATGCTAAAATAGCAACAGAAAATCCTGAACCGATGAACATAGACCAAAAGTGAAAAAAAATCTAAAAGTAAAACACTCTTTGACTTATAAGTATGAATTCTAAAAACTGATATTCAAGCAGTTTATTGTAAAAATACAACAGAGAACATCCTCGAAGGAAGAGGATTTCCTGTTGGTGGTTGATACAATTTAGCAACTTTTCTGATTACTCATCTGAAAAAGGAATGGAGAAATGATTTGATTTGTACTTCTGGTTCTGTTAACATAAAATTCTGCATGGCCATTATGCTATGCTTCATCTCTCAATATCTAATTGGTATCTGATTGAGATTTTTCTACACTCTAAATGTAATTCTGACGCTAAGCAGTTTATGACGTTGATAGTTTTTCCATGTCTATACATGATTTGATTGTGTCCTCAATGATGATCTTATAATCATTGAATATATCTTGGCTGTTGTCTATAACATGTCTCATTAAATCTCTTTGATATGCAGGATTGTTTTTCTTCCACTCTGGCTATTTCATGCAGTTGTCGCCCGAGGAAGATTCTCTCTACCTGCCCCATCTGTTCCACATGATCGCCATGTATGCCAATATTTTTCTCATATTCTTGGAATAACATTGACTATACGAATTCTGCTAGTCTGGTGGAAGTTGAATTGCATCTCCATATCAACACGTTGAGCATGCTTCATGATTTGTATATATTTCTCTGTTTTATTTTTATTTTTTTGTTAAAAACTTGTGTGTAGTGGGCACCATGTCATGCTCTTGTTGCTGCGCCGTTGCTTGTTGCATTTGAACTGCTTCTTTGTACATATCTTGAGAGCACATATGGTAAGGAAGAAAAACACTCCAATAACTTTTAGTACTATTAAGGAATTGAATTTAATTTATCCTTTATTTTCTTGTTGCAGAAGAGAAATTTTTTTTTACCTTTGTGCTCGTAATCTGCTTTCCTCTTCCTCTTCCTCTTCCTCTTCCTCTTCCTTAAGCTGTGTTATGTTGGTGACATGATGTATTAATTATTTTAGGACACAATTTTATTCCTGTTTTTAATAGAACTTTTGAAGACTTATTGATTTTGAAACTTTTGAATTTGTTTCCATGATGCAGTCAATCATTCTGCTGCAGTGAACTTGAAAATTGTCTTCCTTCCTTTGTTGGGATTTGAGGTTATTATCCTCATTGACAATTTTAGGTACAGTAATTCACTTGATTGTCCTTATTTCAGTCTGCTCTTGTTCACATGGAAAAAAAATTCTCTTAGCATCTGTAAGTTCCATGAAGTAATAATTTCATATGCACGCCATGCATTTTCATTGGTACACCCAAATACCTTTTGTAGTATATATTTAATGAAGCTAGTTGTTTCTCCAACAACAATACCACTGTGGAAAAGAAAAGTCAACTACTTCTGCCTTTTGAACGAGCCTTATATTTTAGTGGGAAAATAATGGAAAAGGGTTTTCATAACTCAATTTGTCATGGAGTACTCCACTTTTAGCTTTTCATATTCCTATTGATGAAACAGAACGTGCAAGGCTTTATTACCTGGAGATAGTGAAAGCATGAGTGATGAGGCAATATGGGAAACTCTTCCTGTAAGTTTTTCGATTTAACAGAAATAATAGAATGTTCCTACTCTGTTCTTAAAGGTTGTTCAGCAGTTCTCAGGGCTACACTTCTATTATATCAATCTGCAAGTTTAGCACGTGAATGGTTTAGTGAATCAGATTCTACTGGCTATTTTCTTGTGTGTCATGAAACAAGTCTAAAGAATTTTCGTATGACGTGGTGTAGAAGAGATTGAAATTTAATATTGACTTTTTAAAAATTAATGGATATTTCTAGATTTTAATTTCAGCTTGCTTGGTTTTCAATATGGCTTTACTAATGACAGTTTTATTATAATTAGCACTTCTGGGTGGCAATCTCCATGATTTTCTTTCTTGCTGCTACAGTGTTCACCCTCCTGAAGCTGTGTGGTATGAGACTCTCTCTCTCTCACTCTCACTCTCACTCTCCTTTTTGCTCTCTGTATGTGTTCCCCTATGATTCCCCTGCCATAAAAGATAGAAGAATAGAAGAAATAGTTTGCATGCCATAAATCTGTAATTATTAATATTATAATTGTTACTATCTTTGATCGCATGCACGCTCATGCACCCCCACACTCACGCACAAAAAAAAAAAGTACTTCAAGTCACTCTCAAACTGTGTTTCTGTACACTTCAGTTCCTGTTTCATCTACAACAAGATTTCATAGTTTTAATATGGTTTATTACTTGATTTTGTAGTTCTCTGAACTATCCATTCAAGTGCTTGATCCGTACTGAAACTGAATAAATGCTTAATTTCCCCTATATATAGCTTTAGTCTTGATTTCCAATTTCATATATTTTTTTATGTTGTAGGTGATATTGCTGCCCTTGGCTGGTGGGACTTGTTCATAAATTATGGGTACTATTCCTGACCTTCAATAGTCTTTTACCTTTAACCCTTCTTTCTGTAATCAGTGTTTACATGGCTGCAATGCTGAGATATGGCTTATTTTGCGTTTCTGTAGTATCGCAGAGTGCTTTGCATTTCTTGTCTGTACAAAATGGTCTAATCCTGCGATTCATAGAAATTCTCATACAATAGAACCAAGTTCATCATCAACTGCTATTAGATATCTTGACTGGAACAGCAGTTTGGTGGTTTCTTCGGAGGATCACTCCCGGGATAGAATGTGTGGTCTGCAAGACATTGGTGGCCACATTATGAAAATTCCAATTATTTTTTTTCAAATCCTCCTTTGTATGCGCCTTGAGGTATTCATTAGACGTGTTGACACTGGTTAATTGATTACTGAACAGTCTCTCCTTTGGAATTTTTTTATCAACTAAGAAATATGGTTTTTAATCAAGGGAACACCACCAGTTGCTGGACATATTCCTCTTCCAATCATCTTTTCTCCAATTTTTGTACTGCAAGCAGCTGGACTCTTGTTTTCTGCATCAAGATTAGTAGAGAAAATTGTTATTTTACTACGAAGTGAAGCTGTCAGAGGAAGATATTTTACATACTCTTCAAGAGTTCGTGATTGCTTTGCTTTCTTGCACCATGGCTCCAGGTATTGTTCAAAGATTGGGTATTAGATTGAAGGTCATGCCTCATCCAGTAGAGATGGGGGTTATTTACTAAATATCTGATTCAGGTTTTTTAAAATGGTTGGAATACCTCGTTCTAACTTTTGCATATTTGTGAATTTTCAATCAGGCTGCTTGGCTGGTGGTCGTTAGATGAAGCAAGTCAAGAAGAGCAGGCACACCTCTTCCAAGATGGGGTCTCAGGGTAAGATTTTAAAACCCATACAATGTCTCTAGACATCGCTGCCGGAAGACCGTGTATATATGATCAAATATTGGCTTCCTAAGAAATGACATCTCATAAATGAGTGTGAGCTAAAATGAGATGGCACGGTGCATATCTGGTAAACAAGAAGAGGGAGAGAATTAGAAATGACCACATCTTCTCATTTGGTTAAGGTAGCATCCATTGAAAATAAATTGTGGGAGAATTATTTGAGATGGTTTGGGAACATCCAAACGAGGTAATTAGAAAGGATTTGAGCATTTATGGTTTAAGTTTGGAGGTGACTCTTGATAAAGCAAAGTGGGAAAAAGGGTATCGTTCTAGTATTTTGGGACTTTATCGCTACTATGTGGTAAGTTTCTAAGAAGGGACATCCTTGACACAGAGAAAAAAAATAATCCTGTAAAGTATGAATTTGCACAAAAACAAATTCAAAAAAAAGAGAGAGAGCTATGAGGCTGCAAAATTTATAAGAAATAAAACTCTTAACCAATCTATTTTGGGTTCCTAAACTTTTTGAGGGAACCATAGCATTTAAAAGAAGCTACCATAACAGTCAGTAATGGAAATCTGATCCTAATAAAAGAAGTTTGTTCTTGATTCATTTTATACCATGCACTTCCTTTATAAAAAGCAATTTATGTGGCAAATAGGTTACAGCTTTTTTCGTGCTAGGTTACATGTAAGCTACACAGTTAGCTACTGGTATTGTCATGACATCATGGAAAGTAACTAATTTGACCTTGTGTGAGAAGTTGGGCAATGCAAGTTGCAGTGCTTTTTCCCTCACATCTTTTCAACCACTAATTTTGACATGATACATATTTTTTGTTGCTTTATTTTCTTTGGAACTTTGTGCTACATTAATGCAGTTCTTCATTGTTCTCAACTTCTTCCATAATAATTAACTTCATTTTTGTTCTATCTTGGATCAAATCTCAAGTGATGCTTCAAGTGTAGATGTGTTCCTTGTGGTAGTTTAGCACAATGATTTATTTTTATAAATGACAGTTATAACACTTTTTGCGGTTATCCACCCGATATAGTGAAGAAAATGCCAAAGAAGGATCTCGCTGAGGAGGTAAATATAATCTCTTCAATTTAGAACAGTACAACCATATTTTTCGTTCTATGTACTTCTCATCATATTCCAGCTTACTACAGACTTAATCTAAGTTTCTACTTAATTCTTTTGTTTGATCCTCTTGTTTAAAGGTTTGGAGACTTCAAGCTGCTCTTGGTGAACAAGTGGAAATTACCAAATACAACCAACAAGAGTATGAAAGACTTCAACATGTAACAATCCTAGTCTCGACTAATGGTTTCTTACGTAGTTGATGCTTCGCCAATATCTAATACTTAATTTTCCATGCCATGCTGAGGAATTATGTTGTATGCTGTTCTTTTCTTTCTTTCTTTAAATATCCTTTTTCCCCCAATAAATTTAATTGTCAAGAAGTTATATTTTTAAAGTAAGTTTGGATGAATGTTTTTCAACCCAAAAGAATGATAGTAATAAATATTTCCAATATTGCCGACGTCTTTTATAATCAGAGATCATATCTCTGTTACCTACATCTGTTATCAAAGATCTTAATCTTTATTAACTACATCTTCATAGATACAATAGCATATTGAACAACCTTAAAAGTGGAACAAACTGAACAAAAAGCAGCCCAAAAGAGAACTTTTCTCTCACATTCTTCACAATAAAGGCATACGTTTCTTGGTTTTTTTTTATTGAATTACATTTTCTGTTTGAATGCTCTTTAAAATTTAGAATTATGCTACTTGTACATCACCCGTTACACATTGGGTGACATAATGCACAAGTGGCGCCTCCTCATTGGTTCCAATGAGGAGGCGCCACTTGTACATTATGTTACCCCTTGTGTAACGGGTGATGTACCCATAGCAAGGCCCTAAAATTTATAACCTCATTCTGAAGTTGATTTTCCAACTATTTTATTGTAATTCTGTGCAGGAAAAAGTTCTATGTAGAGTCTGCTTCGAGGGAGAGATTAGCCTGGTTCTTCTTCCATGTAGGCACCGCATTCTGTGCAGGTACAATTAATTGGATAGTTCTCTGCAGCTCATTTAACATGTGCTTTCTTTGTTTGCATATTAATTGATCTTTAATTTCGTGCAGCAACTGCTCTGATAAATGTAAGAAATGCCCTATTTGTCGTGTCTCTATTGAGGAACGCTTACCTGTATATGATGTATAGACAGACTTGTATATACCTAAGCTGTAATGTATTTGAAAGGGTAGGTGCAGTTCTCTCTGCAACTCTTGGTATTAGTGAGTTTTACTTTGATCGAACTGACAGAAGCTAACTTCGACCTCACTGTAATACCCTTATTTTCATTCCTTTGTAAATATGAGGGAGTAAGCTGTATATCTAATTCCTTTGGTTCCAATTTTGGTATTTCTGGTATTGAGAGCTTAGGGGTAAAGAATGCTCATCAAGGCTCTACATCTCGTGTTTGAGTGTGCTTCGAAGATAAAAGCATGCGTTTTTTTCTTTCAGAAAATCTATTTTGTGCACTATGCTCATTAAACGTGGATGTTACTATTAAAGAGGTACACAACTTGTATGGCATTGGAGCAATATGCCAGAATGACCTGCAAATGCCGTTGCTATTAGGACTTCAATTGCTATTGATGCGATACATAAGGAATAATGTTATTCATTCCCACTGGGGTTGAGCTCCAGTTTATGTGGCAATTATATGGCATTAAATGATAGACTCAATTAAATGAGTCATGTGACTTTGTATTTAAATGAATATATCATTTAATGACATAATTATCACATAAATTGGGGTTCAACCCCAGTGGGGATGAATAACATTACTCATACATAAGCCTTGTGGATATCTTAATCTGCATTGGAAACTTAATGTTCTCTTTACCTAATTTGGCTTCTCTCAGCTAATAGCTTTTAAGGCTCACGCTCTTGCAATTGCATATTCAGGATGGTGTTTGGTTAGAAACACCTCGTTTTATTGTAAATGCAATGAGATTACCAAATGCTACCTCCATCTCGTAAAAATATGTTTGGTTTCCTTTTTCGTCCGTCTCAAATTGTAGGTCGCTTTTCTTAAAAATTTATAGATAATTTTTAATTTTTTAATATATACACTGATCTTATTTAAATCATTAAATAATGTATGGGTATATTTGAAAAAATGTAAGAAAATATTGTATTTTCAATTATATTAACGATAATTATATTACCATTACAAATTTTAATTACTACACATCATTATAATCTCATCACAGTTAAAATATATTTTTATAATATTGTGGTGTACTTATCACCAATATTAATCCTCATTTTCTCAACATTTACCCCTCATTGTTTCACAGCCATTGGAAACGAAAGATAAGGTTTCTGGTCTCGACCTTAATAGGCTAAATGTGCCTATTGGAAAAACAACAGTTGTCACCATTTTCAATGCTCTCAAATGAGCCTCAATATTATATAAAACATCAGTAACCACTACTGACATTTGAGATGCTGGCAAATAATAAATGTGCCTATTGGGAAAATGATACACTTATTATTTGCCAGCATCTCAAATGCCAGTAGTGGTTACTGATATTTTATATAATATTGAGGCTCATTTGAGAGCATTGAAAATGGTGACAACTGTTGTTTTCTCAGAGTTTTTTTGTTGTGGTACTTTGAACTTAGATGACGATTCACTTATGTCTTGGTAATTGTGATGAGGAACTTTTCTATCGTTAATGTACCTGAACAACATGGATCTAAGAATCAATAATGGGAATGCAATCTATGCACTTGGATTATGAAGTAGAATCTTCTGTATGCAATTAATTGCTTTCTAAGAAGATGGAAGAAATATTGTTAACAAAATAGACTTAAAATGCATTCTCAATTTTTGACTTGGAATAGACAAACTTCAAAAAGTTCATCTCTTTTAAAAAACTGGTTGCGCAACATCATTTGTTTAAAAAATTATATTCTAAAAAGTCGGCAATCTCATTGGTGATTATGTTTTACTATACATTTTGGGAACTTTGATCAAAATGTTCAAGGCGTCCTTCTTACCTTTCTTTGATGAACTGTCATTATATGTGATGTCTTCTGTCGTTAATTGTTTAGGTTTGTTTCTAGTCTCGACCTTAATAGGAATGTTCAAAATCTTTCCCTTATATTGACTCCACCCTTTAGCTCTACCATTGAATATTTCATGCGAAGCGTACGAAATAATAAATTGAAAATAATCGTATTAAATTCATAATAAATTTGTTCGAATTAATAAACAAATCAAATTTTTAATTTTCAAACTTGACTAATAAATTGAAAAAAGTTCCTCTGTAAATCATGGTCAAATAGAGTATAAATTTTTTTACCGTGAGAAAAAGAAAATTATATTGCAACCGTGGAAGAAAGCAAAAGCCGCCGAAATAGCTATGAGCAATGAGATGCTAAGGAAAAAGAAAGAAGGAAATTATGTTTTATATTTGTCGTGTAACAATAATTTATTTAATTAAAAAGTATATTAAAACCTTAATTATGTAATTTTACTTAATGATATTTAATTAAAAAAGAAAATTGTAGTGTACTTACTAAAATTTGTAGTGGTAATTATATATTTTTAATTTGTGTGAAAATAGAATAAGTCTATATTTATGGAAGGGAAGTAGTATAATTTACTCCCAAGTCCCACCAAACAACTTCCTTTTCCTCATCAGTTCCAATCAACAATATCATTATGATGTCGAATCATGTCAACTGTCTATATCTTAGCCTCCATGTAATCAATGCTATAGATGTAATCAATATTAGACTCATCTGCAACAACATCGCAACAACGAGGTTGCTAACATTTCATGAATTTAAGGCACATAATGTTGAGACGGTAATTTCACTGTTTATATAGACTTTAAGAAACTTGGTGATAAACAATGAGAGGCATCGATTGTTGAGAGTCAATGAACTAATAATCCAATTATGCTTGGTGTACATTATTGTTTACACTTTGCTACCTGACATTATTCAATTGAACCGTTCAAAAAAAAAACATTTTTTTCAATTAATTATTTGTCTACAACCATGCAAATGTCAACAATGGTGTAATAAATGAGTGTGCAAATGGCAAAAACATTTTTTTTCAACTAATTATTTGTCTACAACCATACAAATGTCAACAATGGTGTAATAAATGAGTGTGCAAATGACATAATCCTTAAAGTTCATATCACGGAACAAGTAAATCATAACTATTCACTTTTAAGTAACTCAAATTTTTATAAATGGAGGAAACTATAATTTGCATGTCAAATCAATATCATGCTCACATATCTTCCTAACTATGTAAACAATTGTCACAACATGCTAGAGTCCCTCAAGCAAGATAGGGGTCTTAAACGCAAGGACAATTTATTAAATACCACAACTAAATGCAACAATTCTTCCAGCAATAGGATAGTAAATATTGAGCGGTTTTATATATTCAACAAATTCTTCACCATTCTAAGAAACCTGATTATAGACAAGATAATACAATTACCCGAATAGACTTTATTTTAGTTATCTATCTATGATATATTAAATATCGCATTAAGTGATAATCATTTTTTGGACGATTCTCTGTACTATAATTCAATTATTTTTAATAATACCTTACTTTTTTTTTTTAGTATGTTACCGTACTTTTTGTTTCTCAATATATATTTAATTTATTAATCATTTGAACAATATTATCATTAATTATTTTTATCAATTATTTAGTTATGATTAATGTATATTTGACACATTCATTACCTTACTTTTCATTTTTTTTCAATATGTATTTGATTTATTTAATCATTTGAACAATATTATCATGAATTATTTTATCAATTATTTAGCTATGATTAATGTACATTTGACATATTCATTCCACTTAACTCGTAAATTAAATTCATTAATTTTTTTTTTTGGAGCAAAAAATGAATATTTTTAGAGTTTTCTTCTAACTGATTTATTCAACGAACGTCAAGATGCAGAGAAGGTAAATAGGGGGACATAATGCATACATATGATGAATAATTTCAATTGATATATCAATGCATATTAATTGAATATGAAGTGATTACGCTCAAAGAATAACGCGGTAATTGTAGTGCAGCTTTGGGGTGTCGTATCCACAGGGAGATGGAAGAATATTTAAAGGATAAAAAAGACTGAATTGTTCTCTCAAATGTGTAATAAAATTCAATATTGAAAGGTGAAATTAAAATCAATAATTCGAAGCGGTGAAGCGTCAGAATTCCCTCAATTGGATTAGATCAATCATATCAATTACTCATTTTTATAACACAATTAGATACTTTCATCCCGACATTCTAATCGGAAGATATATCGTGAAAACCAATTTAATTTACAAATGTAATTCTAAAATTTTGACATAAGATATATTCGCACAATTTTATTGGAATAAGATCAAAGATCGACCATACACATCAAGTATAAGGCAGTAATCAATCTGCCAATAAAGTGAATTTGAGATTAAAATTTAACAACTAGTTTAATCTAACGATAGAAGAAGCATGACTGGATCTATGAAAGATATAATCATTGTTAAACCAATCTCAACAATAAATAATTGAAATTGAAACTCAATAAATAGTTTGATTAAATAATGGAAAAAGCATGTCTAAATCCATAAAAAATCTTGTAAATATTAAATTGATTTCAATATAAATTCAAGAGAANCTGAATTCAATGTAATTCAAGAGAATGAAACTAAATTATAGCATTGTTTGACAATGAAATTATCAAAATAAATGAATATTTGACATGAAATCACCAATTCAAACCGAATTCCTTCGTAGTTTCACCAAGAATTTTAGTTCTCCATGAGTTTTTTGAGCTAAAGAGGAGAAGAATGGTGTATGGGGCCTTCTCCATATGTATCCTACTGTTAAGTATTTGTAGGAGTAGGAAATTGGAAGAAAATCATATCCAAATTGGTTTTCAAAAGAGTTCTAATCGAATAAGGAAAGTTGCCTTCGCGCGCGCGGATTTTTTTTTTTTTTACAGAGCAGTCAATAATTTGGTTATAACTTTCTCTTCCGATATCCGATTTAGAAGATTCAAAATGCATTAGAAAGATAACTCAAAGAACTTTGTTATAAATAGATATTTTCCAATTCGAAATTTTACTATGCCAAAAATGGGTCTCAATTTTCAGCTAAAAATTTGGAATATAT